TCATCTGTGAGGCTTTGCGGTCAGGGGCCAGTAGGCCGAGGAGCAGTTTACGGTCCGTTAGGATTGTGAACGGCTGACCATACAGGTAATGGTGAAATTTCTTCACCCCCACCACTATAGCAACCGCCTCCTTGTCAATCTGTGCATAGTTACGCTCCGCAGAAGACAAGGTGCGAGAATAATAAGCTACCGGGACCTCCTGGCCGGCCGGTAACTGGTGGCCTAGGACCGCCCCGACCCCGTAAGGAGAGGTATTGCATGCAAGGACCACCAGCAAAGAGGACCGAATGAGAAACCAGGAGGTCCTTCACAGCCTGGAAATTGGTGGCCTGCATTGTCCCCCAGACCCAAGGGGCGTTCTTGTCCATCAGGTGGTGTAGGGGCTCCACCACGGCCGCCTTCAGGGGCAGGAATGAATGATAAAAATTTAACAGGCCTGTAACTCCATCTTGGACGTGTGTGGGGGAGCCATCATGATGGCCTTGGTCTTTTCGTCAGTGGGGTGGATACCTGGGCATCCACGGCAAACCCCAAAAATTCCACCTTGGGAACCCTGAGCAGACATTTTTCCCACTTAACCTTCAGGCCAGCTGTGTCAAAATGCTGGAACACAGTCCTCAGCCAGTCTGCAAATGTCAAGGCGTCTGGGGCCACGATGAGCACGTTGTCTAGAAATGGCTGCATTCCTGGGATCCCTTTTTAACAAATTGTCCATAAAAGATTGAAAGATGCCCGGTGCGACTGATACCCCAAACTGGACACGATGAACTTTAAAAGCCCCCTTGTGCGTGGTAATTAGCCTCGGCAGTTGCAACATCCACTGGGAGTTGCTGGTATGCCTGGGCCATATCTAACTTGCTGAAAACCTGGGCCCTTGCCAGAGCAGCAAGCACGTGGTTGACCACCAGTCCCGGGTACGCATGGTCCTGTTGTGCCTTGTTTAATGTGCACTTATAGTCCGTGCAAATGCGCACTTCCCCGTTGGGTTTAACCAGGGTAACTATCGGGGTCTCCCACCGGGCAGAAGCAACTGGCTCTAGCACCCCCTGTTCCACCAACCGATCGAGCTCCACCTCGATCCTTGGCCGCATGGTGATAGGGGCTGTCTGGCCTTAACCCAGATGGGACAGATAGCCGGGTCAAGGCCGAGGGATATGGGACCCCCGGTGAATCAGCCGAGTGTGCCATCAAAACGCCCGTCTGGTGGCTGGAGCGCGTGCGCCGCACACACATCACCTGGAAGTGACGTGACGACACCGGGCACGCTGGGGGCGGGGCCACAACCATCAATGGTCGTGGCCCCACCCCAAGCGTGCCCGGCATCGTCACGTCACTTTCGGGAGACGTGCACGTCGGGGTGGAGTTCCCCCCGGGGCCCGATCCGGTGGCAGCGGGGAACGGGCCGCTGGGGTGGGGGTTTCCCCACCCCCCGGGGGGACTTGGCAAGCCTACATCCATAGCTGTTGGTTCATAACACTACTGCAAAATGTATGGGGATGACCTCTGCTTCCCATAACCCTTAGATCGGATTTTTCTCGTTAACTTTGCTCTCTTTGTGTTGCGGAGTTCTTCCCAGGCTGGGGATTGGGGGGGGGCCTGGGTGTCCTGACAGTTGCCCCATACTTGTGGTAATGCCAGAGGGAGGAGGGTATCAATCTTACCGCGATGAGCATGAAACTGGAAAGCACCTTGAGACCTCCGAGGGAGCACAGAGGCCGTTCTGTTCCAGGCAGGGGGGCTCCCTCGCGCCACGGCCTCGGGTCCATTAAGAAGGCCTTTGTGGGCCTGTCTGCTCCTGGCTCCAGAGGGACGTGGGGACTGGACAACAGCAGCGGTTTCATGGAGGGGGGGGGCAGCTGGGAGCTGGCAACGCTGCAACGGGCCAGAGACACAGCCAGCAGAGAAGCTTGTAAACTCTGGGGACAACGGCTTGACTCCCTGCCATGCGTAGTCGTGTTGTTGCTCCAGGGTCGCCTCTCAGTTCGTGGCAGGCCGGGGAGGCTCAGCAGATGTGAGTTTGTGTTATAAAACACATCCCAGAATCCCGTGAGAGAAGCTGGGGCTGCCAACATCCAGGTGGCGGCTGGAGATCCCCCGGGATTCTAACTGATCTCCAGGCGACAGAGATCCCCTCCCCTGGAGAAAGTGGCTGCTTTGGAAGGTGGGCTCTGTGGCATCGTACCACATTGAAGTACCTCCCCAAATCCCACCCTCCTCAGGCTCAACCTCCAAAATCTCCAGGTATTTCCCAACCCGGAGCTGGCACCCCTAAACGTAGCCCGGGAGTTTCTACCCCCCACAAGCCTGTCTCCCAAAGGCAGAAGTCTACTAGGTGCTCAGTGGGTACCATTCCGTGATCCATTTTGCTCTGGCTAACTCTTTATCTACCAGTTCTACACTTAACGGGCTGCAGAATTCTATGAACTCTCAAAGTGGCTCATAATGAGATGCAGCCAGGGCTATTTTGGGGCAAGAACGCACAGGAATGGAGTTCCGGCTGGCTTCAGAGTTGGCCACGCCCACTACAGCCAAAACCTCTGCCTGCGTGGCTACAGAGGGGAGGCCTGGAGAGCGACACCCCCCCGCGACTTCAAGGCGGGCAGGCCAGGGGGGCCTGGAAGGATCGGGGAGGCATTTAAAGGCCTCCATGTACCTTCCCCAGCCTGTCCAAGGGCTGGCTTGCCCGGGCTCCCCGCAGCCGCAGGGCACCCGGGCAAGCCAAGGGAAGGCATGGGGGTGTGGCCTTTATATGCCAATGAGCTGCACTGTCAGGGGTGTGGCCTAATATGCTAATGAATTTCTGCTGTTGGGTGTGGCCTGTTATGCTAATGAGTTCCTGCTGGGCTTTTTCTACCAAAAAAGCCCTGAATGCAGCAATAATAAAACTCCAATAAAATCCAGAGTACACCAGGAACAAGGCCTTCCAGAGGAAATGCATGTTCAGATATTCCCAGAATTCCTGCAAGAACAATGGCAAAAGCCCGTGGGAAGGAGCTTGGCAGACTTAGACCAGTGGCCAAGAAACCGGGGTTGACAGCTTCCAAGGGCTGCCTGGAGATTTCCCGCTATCACAACTAATCCCAAAGTGACAGAGATGGTTCCCCTGGAGAAAAATGCCTCCTCAAACCCCACCTTTCCCAGGGCACGGCCCCCCCCCCCCCGAAAATCCCCAGGTATTTCCCAATCCAGAGCTGGCAAACCTCCAAAAGGAACCCTCCTTTCTTAGTCTGTGACAACCGGTATTCCATACAAGTGCATTTTTATCATCCCAGATTATCTCAAGATCCGGGGTGGTTCATACACCTGGTGGTGACCCTTCCGGTCTTTTGGACTCAAGCCAGTTGGAGCATTAAAAGTCAAAGCCAGCACTCAGGATTTGGCCCTGAAACAAACTGAGGGCCATTGTCGTTGGCACACCTGGTATCGTATATGCTTATTGCAGTAGCCCCGTTAACACTTTGGGGACTACATTTTTACCAACTGAGTAGTAATCTAATCTGGATGTTACCGAGGTGTTATATTGTGGGGAGATGTCAAATTACCATACAAGTGCATTTTTATCATCCCAGATTATCTCAAGATCTGGGGTGGTTCATACACCTGGTGGTGACCCTTTAGGTCTTTTGGACTCAAACCAGTTGGAGCGTTAAAAGTCAAAGCCAGCACTCAGAATTTGGCTCTGAAACAAACTGAGGGCCACTGTCGTTGGCGCACCTGGGATCGTATGGGAGATGTCAATTTAGTGACCGTTCCCGTTATTGTATGGTATAGTTTCCTTTAAGGAAAAAGCCCTTGCTTTAGTTTCACTTTTTATTTCATTGTTGGCTGTGGCTGGTTATGGCCTAGCAGATGCCAGCCTCCAGGTGGGGCCTGGGGATCCCCTGGAATTACAGATCATCTGAAGAGTACAGAGATCAGTTCCCCTGGAGAAAATGGATGCTTCGGAGGGTGGACTCTAGGGCATTGTAAACCCCCCCCCCCCCCAAGGTCCCTGTCCTCCACCAACTTCATCTCCAAATTCTTAGGCATTTCCCAACCTGGAACACTAGCCTGGTCCCACTAGGGGTCTGTGACCCTAAGGCCAATAGAGATGGACGGACTGCTTGCTGCCTCCTGATGGTCATCACATTGATGGCAGTTGAAAACTGGGAGTGGGGAGCAGTGTTCCCTCTAAGCTGAGTCAGTGTGAGCTAGCTCACAGTTTTTTTAGCCTCCGGCTCACACATTTTCATCTTAGCTCAGGAAGGAGGGCTCCAGAGCATACTAATTTCTGCAGCAGCCCAATCGCTCGCTCGCAACTTTAATGCTAGACGCTCACAAAGTAGAATTTCTGCTCACAAGACTCCACAGCTTAGAGGGAACATTGGTGGGGAGTGACTCTTGGAACTGGATTGAGGCCAATGCTCCCTCTAAGCTGTGGAGTCTTGGGAGCAAAAATTCTACTTTGTGAGCTACTGACATTAAAGTTGTGAGCGAGCCGTTTGGCTCCTGCATAACTTAAGTCTGCTCTGGAGCCCTCTTTCCTGAGCTAATACGAAACTGTGTGAGCCGGAGGCTAAAAAATGGTGAGCTAGCTCACACTAACTCAGCTTAGAGGGAACACTGAGGCCTTTCCATTTCCACAGTGAGTAGAAGGGAGGATTGCTTTGGGCCCTCCTGCGTACAAGCCAAGGCTCTGACGCGCTGTCCTTCTGAGACGAGGGACACGTCCCTGTGTGTGTGTTTTTGTGACAACCTGCACCCCTGGCAAAAAGCCACCCTGGGTGGGCAAAGGCCTCGGACACGTAGCCCAGGGTGGGCATCCTTCGTCAAGAACGCTCAGGGCTTCTGCCCGAAGTTTGTCTTGTGTTTCTGTGCCAAGGCACTGGGCACTTGGCACGGGTGATGTGTGGAGGCAGGACCTGGCAGGCCGCCCACCTCCCCTCCCCCGTCCCTAGCCCATCGCAGGCACACACCGGGCCGTCTGAATAAAACCCTTTGCAGCAGAGAGGAAAGGATCTGTCTGAGTCCACGGAGCCCGGAGGAGAACCCTGACCATGGAGGGGCGCAAGCTGTCGTCCTACGGGAAGCGCTTTGGCTCGTCACCCACCTCCGTCCATCAGGCCCTGAGGTTCTCCCCCGGCCGCAGATATGTGCCTTCCAACCCCACCACCCGGTTCTCTGTCACCAAGCTGAAGACGGCCAGCCTCAGCTTCCGCGCCGGCCCCAAATTCTCCCCAGACAAGGTGGATTTCTCCCTGGCGGACGCCCTCAACACAGAATTCAAGGAGACCCGCACCAATGAGAAGGTGGAGATGATGGAGCTGAACGACCGCTTCGCCAGCTACATCGAGAAGGTCCGCTTCCTGGAGCAACAGAACAAAGTCTTGGTCGCCGAGCTCAACCAGATCCGGGACAAAGAGCCCACGAAGCTAGCCGACATCTACCAGGAAGAGCTGCGGGAACTGCGCCGCCAGGTGGACCAGCTCTCCAGTTCAAAGGCGAGGCTGGAGATCGAGCGGGACAATCTGGTGGAGGACCTCAACAACCTCAGGCACAAGTAAGAGGATCCCGTCAATCTCCTTCCGGGCCCCTGGGGGTGGGGTGGGGGGTAGACATAAGCAGAGCAATGGCCCACGGGAGCAGCATGCGGAGGGCAGGGAAACGTAGGGTGTGGACTCCCCCCCCCAACATCAGTCCCAAACTCTGATCTTTATGATTAGGAGCAGGGGTCATTTTGTAGAAAAAGAGGTGCAAGGGCTCCTTTGCATAACTCGTTTGCATATGCCACACCCCCTGACAAAGGGCAGGCAGGCAAGCTTGCCTGGGTTCCCTGCCTGATCTTCTAAAGGGGGGCACCTGGAGGAGAAGAAGAGGAAGAGATTGGGTTTATACCCCGTCCCTTCACTACCCAAAGGAGTCTCAGAGCGGCTTACAAGCTCCTTTCCCTTCCCCTCCCCACAACAGACACCCTGTGAGGCAGGCGGGGCTGAGAGAGCTCTTGACAGAAACAGCTCTTTTTCAAGGACAGCTCTTATCAGAACTACGGCTTGCCCAAAGTCATGCAGCCAGGGGCAAGTGGAGGAGTGGGGAATCAAACCCAGTTCTCCCAGATTAGAGTCCCCGCACTTCACCACTACACCAAACTGGCAGGGAACCCAGGCATCTTTAGAATGCCTTTCTCTCCCTTCCCCATCTGTGGAAGGGAAAGAAAGGAATTTAAATCCCTCCAGGTGGGGGGGGCACCCTGCAGGCCTTCCCTGGACTGTCCACCTGCGTGGGTGGGCCAGTAATGGTGGCGGGGGTGCGCCCCTGGACTCCTTACTGCCGGAGCGCCATTCCACTGTGCTCCAGCAGGAAATGACCCCCGATTATGAGGCTTTCCAGCTCTGGACAGGGTTTGGGGAAGAGACGGACCTCAGTAGGCTACAATGACATACAGTCCACCCTCCAAAGCAGCCATTTCCCCAGGGGAAACGATCGCTATTGCCTGGACATAGCAGGGGATCTTCAGGCTCACCTGGAGGTTGGCAACCTTAACTGATTGCCCAGTTCAAGGGGAAAAAAATTCCAGAGAGTATGATTAGCTAGAGATGTTCGGTGGGGTGGAGTTTTGCCTCCCACTCGCGGCTTGGCTTGCTTATTTGAACCATTCAGAGCAGTGGTCCGGGCTGGCTGAAGGTGTTTTCTCACCCCAAGCAATGAAACAGACTACCAAGATAAACTGCAGAGAGGAAAGCCATATTAGGCTCATGCAGTCAAAATAACCAGTAGACTCTGGACCCTTCAAGACTCACAACTAGAGTCGCCAACCTCCAGGTGGGACCTGGAGATCTCTCAGCATCAGGGGTCATTTCCTGCAGGAGCGCACAGGAGTGGAGCTCCGGCAGTAAAGAGCCCAGGGGGCGGGCACATGCAACAAGCCCCACCCCCTGCTGCCAGCAGCCCTCAGTCAGAGCAAGAAGCAGCCAGGTAAGTTGCGGGGGCCCCCCTGTTCCAAAACAGTCCACTGGCACCTTTAAGACCAAGTTTTATTCAGGTACAAGCTCTCCCTCCTCTGCGAGGACAGATCTGCCCCCCCCCCCCTCCAAATAGCTAGCAATCCAAAACAGTCCAGTGGAGCCTGAGCGGTGGGTGTTGCCTTCTGACACACTTCCAGTGATGTCAGGGGGTGTGGCATATGCAAATAAATAATGCTAATGATTTGTGCTAATGAGTTCCTGCACCTCTTTTTCTACGAAATGACCCCTGGCTCAGCATTACAATTGATCTCCACGAAACAGTTGCCCTGGAGTAAAATGGCTGTGTTGGCGGATTGACTCTATGGCTTTGGACCCCAAACCCCACCCTCCATCAGCTCCACCCCCCGAACCTCCAGGAATTCCCCCACCTGGAGTTGGCAACCCTGGCCGAGCCACCTGACTGGTATTGGCACCCTCCTCCTCATGCCCCCCAGGCAGTTGCTTCAGTGGCTTGCTGGGGGGAGACGCGCGTTGGGCAGCGGCTGTCTGATGTCTCCTGAGGAATCCTGCGGCTCTCTGGGGCTGATGAATGGGGTGATCAGTAGTGGGGGGCATCCCTGCATTAAGCACGTGCTTAGGGCACCAAGGGTAAGGGGGGCGCCACGGAGATCCCCCCCCGACTATCACGCCCTTAACTCTTTCACTGCCGTGCTCGACTTTAGTCGATTTTTTTGTAACCGTCCTCACCTGTCGTGTTTGACTTTAATCTGCATTGTTAAAAAAAACTTTTCTTTGGCATGCTAAATCGCTCAGTTCTTGCTTATACCCAGAATTAGACTTTGCTGGTCCTAAGGGTCCCGCTGGACTCAAACCTAGTCCTCACATCTTTTTAAGAACATAAATTGTAAATGCGGGCTCATTTGGTCTGTTATACAACAGAAATGAACACTACAAACATTTAGGATATATGAAGAATCCATTTGGAATATTTGTGACTTGTATGAGGGCGCTTCTCGATGAGTTTTGATGTGTGAGGAAGACGTCATGAAACGGAACACCAACTCCGGGGAATTTCGTCCATCTATATATTATCTGGAACACAAAATGTTGCTGTTACTGTATATTTTGTAGATGTGTACTCACTTGGAAGACTATTATTATTATAATCACTAATTGCATACTTGCAGTAATCCTGTTCCCGGCAGAGCAGTTCATGCAGAATGGGTTCCTCGAGGAAATGTGAGAAGAACCCTAGGCAACTTTCACTGATCCCTCTGTTCTAAACTTGGGGGCTGGGTGGAGGCAGGGAGCCATCCCACCCTTGCCGGCTAGAGGGCTGAGGCTAGAATAACCCCGATCTCCTTCCACTCTCTTAGGAAGTCCCCTGAAAGAAAGGGCTGCTTGCCAACATGAGGGAATATGAGCCGAACAAAGAACTATTGCAGAACCGGCCGCTCAGAGGAACGGTAGAGCAGGCATGCGTCAGCTCAATCAGACGTAGTGAATGCATTCACGAAAACTCTTATTCGAATCTGGAAGAGTTATGTTAACGTGACGTGACAGGCACGCTCAGGAAAAAATGTGTGTGTGGGAACACAACTTAACTGGTCACCTCTGGGCCATATATGTCTTGTGCCAATGTCTGTGGGCAGATGGGCTTGTAAAGACAGCTGTGGGCTGGTAATATTTCTGTTAAAAGACAGTGTTACATGTCAGAGGAGCTTCAAGGCCACGTCTGAGAAAGGGTTTTGGGGGTCTTTTTTAATGAACATTTAATGATGTTCCACTCCTGCCAACCTAGCAGTTCGAAAGCACGACATTGCAAGTAGATAAATAGGTACCACTTTGGTGGGAAGGTAACAGTGTTCCGTGCGCCTCGGTGTTTAGTCATGGCGGCCACATGACCACGGAAACGTCTTTGGACAGCGCTGGCTCTTCGGCTTTGAAACGGAGATGAGCACCGCAACCCTAGAGTCAGACTTGACTGGCTTTTGAGCAAGGGAACCTTTACCCTTTACCTTAATGATGTTCCAAGCAGTGGTGGTATCAGAATGGGACTTTGGGGCGAAAGTCCAGGGTTCAGTTCATGGGCTGAGCTTGGGGGGGGCACAACCAGCTGTCACATTTGACAGCCACAGAGTCCACCCTCCAAAGGATCCATTTTCTGATCTCTGACATACGTGTTTCTGATCTCTGACATACGTGTTGCCATCTGAACGGGGACCCACATGAGGCTCTTGAACCCGGAGTCTCATATTACCCAACTGCAACATTGGGTTAGGGTTGCCAGCCCCCGATGGGGCCTGGAGGTCTCCTAGAACTTCAGCTAATCTCCAGACAACAGAGATAAGTTCTCCTGGGAGAAAATGGATCCTTTGGAGGGCAGATTCTATGGTGTTATACTAGGGTTGCCATGTCTTCCCTGGCTGCTGGCAGGGGTGTCCCCCCCCCGGGATCTCTTTGGCGCATGCCACAATGACATCACACGGAAATGACATCACACGGAAGTGACATCACACGCATGGCATGTTGTGGGGGGACGCTCTATCATTTGAGGGAAAGCTCTACGGTAACCATAGAGTTTTTTTCTCAAATGATAGAGCGTTTCCCCCCCCCCCAACGTCCCCTGTGCAATGACTTCACTTCCAGGCCTCCATGAGCCTTCGGGGAGGGCGGGATATAAATCTAAAGAATAAATAAATAAATAAATGTCATTGCACCGGGCAAGTTGGTGCAAATGGGGCACTTTTGGGGTGGGGTTCGCCCCACCAGCTGGATTGGGGCTGGCGGATCGAGACCCATGAAAGCAGGCAAACCCCTGCCCGCGTTGGGGAATGACAGCCCTGTGTTATACCCTCCCCAACCCGTATCCCCTTTCTCCATCTTATTGTTTATTTATCTAGATTATTTATAGTCCTCCTTTCTCGATTGGACACAAGGCGGATTACACAGAGTGAGCCAATATAATCAACTGTGTGGGACATTCGGTAAAACAGTACAATAGAAACAGGAGTTGTAGAACCAACCAGAGGTCTAAAAACGGGACACCAGAGATCTAAAAACGGGACTGAAACAAAGCATATTTATTAATGTGACATATTCAATTATGCAAAAATTACATGGATCCTCGTTTCAGTCAGCTAAAACACAGCAGCACAGACCACAGTCCCTAATGATTTTTCCAAGAAACTTTGCAAATCATTTAGCACAGTGCAGCTCTGTTTCCTGTATAGAAAAACCTTCTTGAATCATTCAGAAAGCCCGGCAAAGCAGCCGTTTTCTCTGGGGGGTAGTGATCTCTGTAGACCGGAGATCAGTTGTGATAGTGGGAGATCTCCAGGCCCCACCTGGAGGTTGGCAACCCTGTTCCAACAGCTGTACATTTTTTTAAAAAAAAAAATGCTCCAGAGAGACATTTACAGCAGGAGTCATGCAAGCAGGCTTAGTGGGGGGGGGGGGCTGTCTTGCAATAAATATCAAGGACCTCCAGGAGTAACTGCTGAATGTGCAGCTGCATCCTGAATCATCAGGGTCTCAGCTCCTCTACCAGCTCCGGGGAAGAACGCTGCAAACCTTCCGGAAGCCCCTTGGGGGAAGAAATCTGTTATTCTACTTACATTACTCTGGGAAGGGAAGGTAAAGGTTTCCCTTGCTCGAAAGCTAGTCGAGTCTGACTCTAGGGGGCAGTGTCCTCATCTCCGTTTCCAAGCCGAAGAGCCAGCCCTGTCCGAAGACGTTTCCGTGGTCATGTGGCCTCCATGACTAGACTCTAGGAGGCGGCGTGCTCATCTCCGTGTCCAAGCCAAAGAGCCAGCCCTGTCCGAAGACGTTTCCGTGGTCATGTGGCCGGCATGACTAGACTCTAGGGGGCGGCGTGCTCATCTCCGTGTCCAAGCCAAAGAGCCAGCCCTGTCCGAAGACGTTTCCGTGGTCATGTGGCCGGCATGACTAGACTCTAGGGGGCGGCGTGCTCATCTCCGTGTCCAAGCCAAAGAGCCAGCCCTGTCCGAAGACGTTTCCGTGGTCATGTGGCCGGCATGACTAGACTCTAGGGGGCGGCGTGCTCATCTCCGTGTCCAAGCCGAAGAGCCAGCCCTGTCCGAAGACGTTTCCGTGGTCATGTGGCCGGCATGACTAGACTCTAGGGGGCGGCGTGCTCATCTCCGTGTCCAAGCCGAAGAGCCAGCCCTGCCCGAAGACATTTCCGTGGTCACATGGCTGGCATGACTAAACACTGAGGCGCATGGAGCGCTGTTACCTTCCCACCAAAGCGGTACCTATTTATCTCCTTGCAAAATCCTGCTTTCAAACTGCTAGGTTGGCAGGAGCTGGGGCCAGAGAAAAGGAGACGGAGCTAGGGTCTCGAACTGCCGAACCACAGGCCTTCTGGTCTTAACCTCTGAGCCATTGACAAAGAGGGCACTCTGTTAATCACGAGGAAGATTATATTTATTTATTTATTTATTTATCCCTTGTGGGCATACAGAGGCCGAAAGGGCAAAGGACTGGGGCGGCAGAGTGTGCCCGGGCATAAACAGCGGGGGATTAGCCAAGGCCTGCCTGCTCGGCGGGGGCCCTGACCTTGGGGCACGGCTCCCTTCTCAGCTGCTTGCGGAAGAGAAGAACCAATAATGACTCTAGGAGGCTGCCTGGCTTTCCACACTCGCACACCTTTTCCCTCTTCTTTCTCTCTCTTGTTTAAGGTTACAGGACGAGATTAGTCTGCGCCTGGAAGCCGAAAACAATTTGTCATCCTACAGACAGGTGAGGCAAGTGAGACAATGAATACCACTCTGGGATTAGGGAGGGGGAAGGCAAGGCAGCCTGCTAATTGGTACCAGGGTTGGGGGGGGGTTCCTGCTGTCTCATTTCTGGTCTCTGCAGGGGGGCTTTACACAAGTGCAGGGCTATTTTGGGGCAGGAACGCACAGGAACGGAGTTCCGGCTGGCTCCCGAGTTGGCCACGCCCAGCAGGAACTCATTAGCATAACAGGCCACACCCAACAGCAGGAACTCATTAGGATTGGCTACATTAGGGGTGTGTGGCCTAACATGCAAAGGAGTCCCTGCTACAAAAAAAGGCCCTGGGTTTTGACAACAAACAAGGTAAACAGAATAAGAAGGGAAAAGTGGGTGTGGCTGGATGACCACACTTCTGGTAACATGGGGGTGTGGCCTAATGTGCTAATGAGAGGTGTTGCCAGGGTGTGGCCTAATATGCTAATGAGTTTCTGCTGTTGGGTGTGGTCTATTATGCTAATGAGTTCCTGCTGGGCTTTTTCTACAAAAAAGGCCTTGCACAAGTGTCAAACTGAGCTACTTGGGCTCTTTTTGCAGCAGGAACTCCTTTGCATATTAGGCGACACCAGGGCTATTTGGGGGCAGGAACGCACAGGAACGGAGTTCCGGCTGGCTTCAGAGTTGGCCACGCCCACTACAGCCAAAACCTCTGCGTGAAAGGCTACAGAGGGAAGGCCTGGTGAGTGACACGCCCCCCAGGCGACTCCGAGGTGGGTGGGCCAGAGGGGACCCTGGAAGGATCAGGGAGGCGTTTAAATGCCTTCCCTTCCCTTCCAAGGGGGAGCTTGCCCAGGCAAAGCAAGGGAATGCATGGGGGTGTGGCCTAATATGCTAATATGTTTCTGCTGTTGGGTGTGGCCTGTTGTGCTAATGAGTTCCTCCTGGGCTTTTTCTACAAAAAGAGCCCTGGGCGACACACCCCTAGTGTAGCCAATCCTCCAAGAGCTTACAGAGCTCTTCTTACAGGGGCTGCTGTCAGCTCTTGGAGGATTGGCTACATTCGGGGTGTGTCGCGAGTCCATCAGAGCAGCTGGACGCATAACTTCCCAGGGCGGTTGCCAGCCTCCAGGTGAGCTTGGAGTTCTCCTGGAATTACAACCGATCTCCAGGCCACACAGTTGCCTCGGAGGAAACAGCAACGTCTGAAGGCAGCGGAAAAGAGCAAAGAGTCCGGCAGCACCTTAAAAGACCAACAATATTTGTGGGTCGCTTTGAGCCGCGACTCACAAAAGCTCCTCCCTGGCCACAGATTTTGTTCGTCTTTAAGGTCCTACTGGACTCTGGCTCTTTCCCGCTGCTACAGACAGACTGACGCGGCGACCCAGGGGTCATTTCTTAGGAAAAGAGGTGCAGGAGCTCATTTGCACAACTCATTTGCATATGCCACGCCCCCTGACAAAGGGCAGGCATATTTAAAATGAGTGAAGGCATATGCAAATGAGTTTAAATCCCCCCCCCCGAGTCTCTCTGCAAAAGGGGAGAGGCTGGGGGGGGGAAGGAGAGCATGTCTGCCCGCCTCCCCTTCCCATCTCCAGCCAACCCGCCACAGCGGTATTCACGGGGAGCCCGGCGCTGGCCGCACCAGTCCCACTGCAGCGGCCTGTGAGGCCGCGGAGGAGCCCACGGCGGGACACTTGCAGCCATAGACACCCTAAAGATCTGGTGCACAATTTTTTTTCCTGAAGAAATCAGTCTATCCAATGTGATTCCAAAAATGGATATTTAGTTACTGGATTTATATCCTGCCTTTCACCCCAATGAGCACCCAAAATGGCTTGCATCATTCTCCTCCTCTTCTTTTTTCTTTTTTTAATTAAATATAAAAAAACAGTTAAAAATAAGAAAGCAAATCCTGGTGTTTATGCAGGGCAAACAGGGAGGTGTCGAATCATTCTCCTCTTCTCTCTTTGATCATCACAGTAACCCTGTGAGGTAGGCCAGGCTGAGAGCGTGTGACTGGCCCAAGGTCACCCTGCAGGCTTCTATGGCATAAGTGGGGACTTGAACCTGGGTCTCCCACATCCGAGTTGGGCAGTTTTAACCCCTACCCCATGCTGCCCCTCCATCTACTCCATGCTGAAGTGCTAGGTGCTGCTGCCCGGTTTTACCTGGAAACTCATACTGTACATAGATGTGTATGTTCTCATTCTATAACAAAGGGTACTTATCTTTATGAGGCTGTATAGGATTACTTCTGTTATAATGGTGTTTGTGAATTGTGAGTCAGCCGATATTGGTTAGCATTTTTCCCCACCTCTGCCTGGGGACACAGATCATCTGGAGAGGACTCTGAAGAAGTCATCCATGTTTCTTCTGCCAATTCCAGAAGGTTCTGGGCCCAGGGAATCTCAGATCTGACGTCCCAGTCTTGAGATCAGTGTTCCCTCTAAGCTG